CTAAAACCTCCTAAATACATTTCATATGTTTGTTTTCAGTAAAACTTTGTATTTTATTTGTTATTTTCTCTACCCTAACTGTCTACAAGGTTGGTCATTTTGACCATCCTCGTAATCAACCATAAGAGAAAAATTGAAATAAATCTAAATTACCCTCTTTTTCTTTCTAGAATGACTTCAAATTGTAACACGAAACTACATTCATTTATCTTAAGTAGCTTAAACTCATAACAGTATACATCTATTCATAATTAAATTATATTGTTTTATTGCCTTGTGAACCATGTCTAACAACTATTCACGCCATTATAAGTTATAAATCACTTGGGGAACGTGCAGCTTATGTCAAGCTAACAAGTTACATTACCCACAAGCTACTCCAAGCTGCTTGCATGCATCCCTCATGAAATATTTTATTATTAGTATTATATATATTTTACCTAATGTAACCTTAACTAACCTAATGAGACCCCTATTTTTACATTTTAGTTACTTTTATAACAATAAATAAAGAATAAACATGAAAAACAAGAAATAAAGTACTTACCCATCTATTTGTTTTGTTTTTTTGCTGTCGACTGTTGATCACACTTTCCCTGACTTTTTTTTTTATAATAACGGTAGTAATGCAATATAATTATAATAATTAATTTTTATTTAATTAAATAATGCAACAAAGAACATAGAATAACAACATGCAAAAAGCAGACAATTTCCTCTAAGTATAACAATTTTTCTGGCTTTCTAACTATGCGACAAGAGTTGTTACAAATTCATCCAAACTATTCTTTATTGCTCCCATGGGAACAAAGCTTGTACTAAAAGAGAAATTGACAATTCTCTGTTCAGAATGTAATATAATATATAATTTGATAGATGAAAACCTAGGTTTTATATTGGTTATACATAATATGGAATTAAACATAAGTGAGAACTATTAACAAATCCTGAAAGAGAGGATGTGAAAGGTAGGTGTGGCAAGAGGAGACTGATTTTCTATTTGATGGCTCTGTAACCAAATACAATTGAAAGCTTTAAAAATTATGGTTTGTCTGAGCAATAACGGTTTTATACTGAGTAATTTACATTAAATTTCATACTTATTGGAGGAGTGGTGATAAAATAGAGAAGATGGGATGCCTACATAAAATGAGTCACCTTTCTCACACATTGGGAAATTCAGGATATTTTTAAATATTGCCTTATAAAATGAAGAACTTAAAACTTATATACTGATAAAATATGGATAATTAGCTATGATTTTATGCTTTACTAATTGGTATAACATAAACAAATAGTTTAATAAAACTGTGAATGTAAGCCACTAAAACCTCATTAGATGCGCAGTATATGATGCCCAGGCAGATAGGGTCAAACAGTACAGCACCTAATGTGGTATACTGTATATGATATCACTATTCAGGATCACTAGTAAAAGAAAACATCCAATGGATGAAGAATTACCCAGTGTTTCACATGTATGATGTTTTGAGACATCTTTTAGTCACACAGCAGTTCTATATTTATATAGGTATTTCAAGTGACACTACTAACTTATTTTTGTGAATTATTTAGTTGAAAAGGTGTTTGAAATACTAAAAAATAAATGTAAAGCCCGATCTACCATATGATTTATCAGCTGTCACCGATATAACTGACATAACTTAGTGGTAAATCAAATGATAGATTGGGCTTCACATTTATTTTTAAACATTGTTCAGTAGATAGTAAGGTAACTTTTCATTGAGACAGATATAAACACTCACTAAGTTTCTTGAAGAACTAAGGAGTAGTTTGAAATTGACTGTTCCTTCACATTGTACATAACAGCAACAAGTCTAGTTGATTATAACATAATGACTTGCACAAAAATGGATAACCAGACAAATAAAAAACATAGCTTTTCACAATAAGTTACTAGTTATCAAAAGAGATAATGCTAAGTACTTTTTTTTAAAGTATTGCATTACAGAACACCTACATATGCATTACTTGCTGTAAGCCAGGTAGGTTCGACAGCTCTCCTAGTAACAGTTCCAGCTGGTATTACTCTAGGCAAGATAGCTCCATAGAGAAAATCTTCATCATAACAGGAATTGCTAATTTTAATGATTGAAAAAACTGTAAGGACTAAATACTAATCACTTATGAATATAAACATAATGTTTTGTTCCCGAGTCAAAATTTAAAAATATTATACAAAAAATCTACAAAAAATATTTTCACATATCTATAATTACCTTGAATGCACTTTTTTATGGTAGTTAGTCCATAGAACTACATTGTACATGGTATTTTCAACCTGATAAGCACCTTATATGACACACGGTCTAAATGGCCAGGTCATAGAGTCCAAGGTTCAGGTATTTGATACCATCATCTTTAATTCAAATCTGTTGACCAGAAAGAGGACAATCAGTCACAAGCACCTACAAGGCTACTCTTAACCAAATAGCAGGATTTACTGTCATTGTTACATGCCCAATGATGAAAGAGCAGGGCTTGTTTAGAAGAATAATGTGGACTCAAACCTTGGGTCTTTTTATCTGCATCTTAGCATGCTAACCAGTAGGCCAGTCTACTTCACAATATAATTCATTTATTAGAACCAGGCGAGTTTAACAGTGAAGAATGCTGAGATAAAGTACAACATTAACTCTACTATTTTTGAATTTGTTCTCAAAGATTACCAAGTTTATTGTCTGCAATGTACACAAACGTTTTGCAAAACTCCTAAAAATTTTAAATGGTTCAAAAAACTACATTATTTCAAAGAATATAAAGGAAATAATACTAAAATTTAAGTTTTTTATTCAAAAAAGTAATTCTCCTAATGCACTGACCTAGTCACAGCAGAGGGAAGTTCACTTTGATTCATCCACACCACCATCTGAGACCTACAAAATCTTATGATTTTTAATCCTGTTTCAGTTATTAAAATATAAAATTCAAGCACATAAGATACACATTATGCAAGCCATTTAACTTGTAATTTAAATACAACTAATTGTAATTCTACAAACCCATGAATGAAAGCAAAGAAACAGAATATGTCTACCACACTACATCTGCAATGATCCAGTAAGAACTAGACAATTCATGGGTTTAAGTTCTATGTGATTTTTTGTACTTATTTATTCATCAAAATAGAGCAACATGTAATAATGTTGAACAAAATAAATTAATCCTTATGACTTTCAACCAACAAAAGATAAACTCACAAAATACGATCACGAGCATTCTTCCAATAGGACACCATCTTATTTAATCGTAAAGCTTGATCAGCTTGACCTCCACCCAGTGCTCTCAAAGTTCCATCTTCTACTTTACTAAGAAAATCTTTAGCTAAAGGGTTACCGACTCTCTTATGCAGCCCATCCTAAGCACATCATCATAAAACAGAAAAAAAACACTTTTTGAAAAGCAAAATATTTTCAGAATTTATCTAACTAACTGCAGACAAGTTATGTCATCAAATTGAATAACTGGATTTTTAATAAGTTGATCTTTACTCATTGTTTGCTTATTATTATCTTAATATCAGAAAAATACACATACCTTGTGAGGTAACCTAAAGAACCAGCATCCCCTAATATTAACATCATTAAAAGGACCATTACCATGGTGACCTAAGGCTCCATTATAAGCTGCTTTTTCAGTCTGTAACTAAAATAATTCTCATGAAACATTGATGTACTTTTATGTTCATGTCCACCAAATACTTCAAAATACATTATTATTATATCATACTTATAAAGTAATTATAAATACTTCTATACAAATTGACATATGCAGATCTAATTAAGTTATTATATTACATTTCAAGCTAAATACACTGAGCCCCCAAATACATATAAAAATGTATGTGAGTGGAAAGGGAGATATATATCAAACATTTTCCAATTCAAACTATACTTTTAACCTTAAATCCACACACACACACACACATATATATATATTTAGAAAGAGAGACACACACAGTCAAACAGCTACAAAAAAAGGAAACACTACATAACAAAAGGCTCTACCTTCTTCTTTTTATTTCCTAAAATTGCCTTCCATTGTTCATTTACTTCAAATGAATTTTCAGGAATATTCTGAAGATTTTTCCATGCCTCTTCAACTACACTTACAGTTCCTTCTTTTTTCTTGATATCCAAGTGAGGACATAATCTCAAAAGGTTTCTACAAAAGATTTTGTAATGATGACTGCATTTCTAAAAATATATATACATATATAATTTGTTGGGATGTCTGTATTTTAGAAAATGACCAAAAGTGTTTAAAGTGTTGGATTTAACACCTCTATTAACAATTATGAGACACTGCATATAAAAAGACAAGTACCTAATAATATCTAAATGTATTTCAGTGCAAGATTATCTTCTTGCTACCAAGATTACAAAATGTTTGAATTCAAACTTTGTGCTGGTAACACAAGTACAAACAAAGTAAAAAGGTACGTACATTAAACCAACAATCAGATGTGTCATAATACATTAAAACTGTTACCTTGAGCTAGAAAATGATATATGATAAGAATGTTAAAAATACTGTAATGGTTATAACACATGATATATTAACAAGTCATGCCAACAGAATAATAGTAATAACACAGATATATTAACAAGTCGTGTCAACAGAATAATAGTAATAACACAGATATATTAAGTCGTGTCAATAGAATAATAGTAATAATACATGATATATTAAGTTGTGTCAACGGAATAACAGTAATAACAAATTATATATTAACAAGTCGTGTCAACAGAATAACAGTAATAACACATTATATATTAATAAGTCGTGTCAACAGAATAACAGTAATAACACATTATATATAAACAAGTCATGTCAACAGAATAACAGTAATAACACATTATATATTAACAAGTCGTGTCAATAGAATAACACATGATATATTAACAACTCGTGTCAACAGAACAAATATCTCGGTATAACAATAGTATAAACTAATCAGGAATAAGCATTAAACAGGTAGTGCACAGCAATATAGGTTACTAAAGAGCATTGACACTTCTAGATCTTTTACAGTTTTGTAATAATAAAAGTCAGTGCGAAAAGGTATTTGCATAAAAGAGTGACATAAAATTATAGAACATATTCCCAATGTACAGTTTTATAGTAAGCTCAACTTCTGAAATGTTATATCAACTTCTCATGTAGTATAAGTATTATTTTTAAGTGAATTAATACATGCAAATGTACTCTGAAAACTCTACAACTTGTTCCTAACATTGTAACAAATTAAAAGCATTTAATTATATTGTTCAAACATAATTGTCATATGTTATTGCAATTTGTTCTTTAACAAATATTATCTATTAATGTTTCAGAAGTAATGCTTCGAGTGGATAAGAAGTGGAGAGGTCTTAAAAGGTTTTAATTAATAAATAAAATGAAGCTTGTTTGTTTGTCAAATTCTGTATAAAGCTACTCGAGTCTATCTGTACTAGTCACCACTAATTTTGAAGTGATAAACTAGATGGAACACTGCTAGTCAATACCACCCACCATTAACTCTTGGGCTGCTCTTTTACTAGCAAATAACGTGGTTGACCACAACATTATAATGCTCCCACAGCATGTTCAGTGAGGGGATGCAAACTCATGAACTGCAAATTGTGAGTGAAGTGTCCTAACCACCAGGCTTCAAAAATGGAGCTTAAATTCAATTAAAAGCACAAATCTAGAATAATAATCATGTTTTTATATTAAAAAAGAATGCATGTTCTGTACACACATTTGGTGCTTAATGAAATATTCACATAGCTACATACAGTAAGCTTATGTTTCAAGAGCACCCTATTAAAAGAACAGCAGCCAACTTAGGCAAAACAAATCTTCATTCTAAAGCAAGCTAACAGTCCATCTTTTTAAAATTAAAATTGTTTATTAATTAAATATACCTAATAACCATAATAATAAATCTTTATAATGTCGAGATAGTTATCAAATGTTTCTTAAGAAAAAACTTTGTATTTTATCTGTTATTTTCAGTAATTAATCTCTGTACGAGTTTGGTAGATTTGACCGATCTTGCAACCACCATAAAAAATTAGGAAACAAATATAAATTATGCCCCTTTCATTCTAGAATGAACACAAATTATAACATGAAAACATAAATGTTTAGACTAAATAACTTCAATCTCATAACATTAAAACATTTATATATATAATTTTTATTATATTGACCTTTCAGCTGTGCCTTGCTAACAATACAGAAGTTACAATGATGCAGCTCATGTGCACTCATGTTACCGTATCAAATAACATAAAACTGACCTTTGGTCTGTGCAAAGTAACTTGTCTTGTCTGTTTTATTAGACTAGTATTTTGTAAAATACAGTCACATTTTTATTATTATTCATTATATATGTATATAGATTATTGCTATTTAGAAATAAGTTCTTAAACATATTTTTTACTAAAACATGGAACAGTAAATAAAGAAGTAAAGCAAACAATTATCTCTTCTAGTTACGACCTTTGTAGTTGGTTGCTGTTTGACGTAGGTTGCTAAGCCTTTAAAAAATTTGCATGTGGAGGATATAAAACAAAATATCTTTTAAGGTTTTATATATACATTTGAATAACTAAAAAATTATAGATTACTACATCAATACCATAGAATTCCACTATAATTTATCAAGCTTAATAACTAAGATGTATTTTAGTCTAAAAAAATATGAGATTTCAAGCAGACTAAAGACACACCCTACCTCTTTGAAATATTAGTTCAAAAGAAAGAAATGGTGCCAAGCCCGTTAAAATGTCTGAGAAAGCCAATAGGGGGCCATTCTGAGCTTCCAATTAGTTATTCATGTCATATATAGAAATAAGTGTATATAAGGGAGCAAAAATGGAAAGAGGTGGGTGGGGTGGCACTGTGTTTGATTTATTACATGAGCAATATCTCAGCAAATTGAAAAGATAAGAGGCTCTTATTTTATATTCTAGCTTGTCAATATCGGTAATTCAAGTTTCTAATTCATTCAAAACTATAGACTATATAAATTCATAAAATAGTAGTTTGATAAAATTTTGAATGCGAGTCATCAAATGAGATGACATGGCCTTTCACCAGTGGCCCACCTCAAAAGCTTAATTAAGTACATGCATTGGGAAGGAGGGAAGACTAGAGTTACAATGATACTTCTCTTTCAACATTAACATTATCAGTTTAACATATATTTTATACTTATTATACCATTACATTTCTCTTCCATCTTGTACACTAGGCATTCAATACATTTTATTGAAGCAATGTAGCCACTAAATGTATTTCTTCTGTGGTCTATCATAATGGTCTGGTACAATACACTAAAATAGCTGCTACATATAATGTTTTGGTGGTATCTGTGTGCTTTAATACAAGAGCTCTTGCTTACTAATAGATGTTATATAAATCGAAACATCAAAGTTTTCATGTGAGTGATATTTAATGTGTGATTATTGTTCAAACATTGTCAAACAGCTTCTGTTAACAAGAGACAAAAGATATAAAAATCTGACACTGCTTGAATTCTGGCTGATGAACCAATGAATGTTAGAACTGTCTTTGAATTCCTGCCTAGTGAAGAAACCTCCAAATTTATACATAATATATACAAATATTTAATGAAAACTTAAATTACATAAAAACTTTTACATTTTTCATAGTTTAGGACTTGCACATTGGATATGCATCTTCACTATACATATATGGTTTCATTATTGTGTTTCTGGCATTACTTCTTAAAAATATGTACTTACTGAAACAATTCAAGTGCACTACACTTAGAATATCACTGTATGTAGTATATCATGCACAAGAAAAAGAAAACTGACAGCCATGAAAACACAATGGAGTAAAACAGTATTACACTTTAATTACAGTATTTCTGGCTTTTATTCAATTTTGTTTTAGCTTGACATATACAAGTAAATTTTTATAATGCAGCAAAGCTAACTTTATAGCCAGCTGAGGACTATAGTTTTGACTGAGTTTAATCATCTCCAATTGATCAATGACAGGAATACACTATGAACAATAAATAACCTATGCAATTTATAAGAGAAAACTAACAGAATACTTACTCTAAAGGAAATTCTGACCTATCTTCTTTTTTACAAATTTCTTCTTCCCCATTGTCAGTATCAGCATCTGGTGGTTTACCTGGTACAAGATAGCCCCACCCATGTTTGGTATCATAATGAAGAGGATATCCATCCCATGTCAACCTCATCAACTTAGGGACAGTTCGCATCTGTCAATTAACCACATTCAATGTTTAAACTATATCCAAAAATAAGTTTCTATAGTGGGTTGTTAAAAAGAAGTCTACTCTTCACTCTTTCCACGTAGCTACTCCTATTGATTATATATTTAAAACGTTTTAAGAATAAAAACGACACATGAATGATTAAGTGGTTGATAAGTCTGCTATTTTCTTATCACTTGCTATTAACTCTTTTGGCACCTGGGTGTGTCGATTGGACATACCTGTCGTATGGTTTGTTTTACTGCTTTTCTTTGTTTCTAGTTTAAGCACAAAGGTACACAAGGGGCTATCTATGCTCTGCCCACCACAGCTTTAAAATAGAATAATTACTAATAATGTGCTGTAAATATACATTATGTTTATATACTAGTTTAAAACAAAACAATTACTAATAATGTCCTATAAGTTTACCTTATGTTCATATACTAGTTTAAAACAGAATAATTACTAATAATGTGCTGTAAATATACATTATGTTTATATACTAGTTTAAAACAAAACAATTACTAATAATGTGCTGTAAATTTACTTGGTGTTCATATACTAGTTTAAAACAAAACATTTACTAATAATATGATATAAGTTTAGCTTATGTTAATAAACAAATGACTAATAATGTGCTATAAATTTATGTTGATAGGCTAGCTTTAAAACAGAAGAATTATAATTACTAATAACGTTATGTAAGTTTAGCTTATGTTGATAAACTAAATACACCAACGTTTGATCTTTTTTCATTATGATAGATAGGAATACTTTCATTATTGTAACCTATATCCATGAGGTGATCATCTCTCTCAGTGACTATGTAAGCAGATGAAGGTCATTAATGGCTCATGACCACAAAAGTATTCATGAGAGTAATTTTTGATAATGTAGGCATATCTTTACAAAATTTTACAGATTATTAGTAAGTATTACAAGGCTTTCATAAAAAAAATATCAGGTTTTTAAATTAAGTATTAAGATTTTTTTCTTAAAGGTTTGCTCATGAATATTTTTTCTTTCAGAATGTTGACTATCCAACGTGCAAAGTAATTTTGATTTTAAGATAAAAAATACTTTTCTTTATCTGAAATTTGTAAGATATCATTTGCGTAGTCGCTATATCCTTCTAGATAATCAAACGGTTTTTTGAATAAAACATTATATTTAATCTGTTACTTTATTAATATTAACTTCATACGGTGTTGTTCGATTTGACTGACCTCGTAATCATCATAAAAATTACAAAATAAAGTTAAATTACCTTTGTTCTAGAATAACTGCAAATTGTAACAGGAAACCACAAAGGTTTATAATAAATAGCTTATATTTCGTAAAAGTATACATTTATTTATATCTATTGATTTTTGTTTTATTGACCTTTGAACTGTGTCTGACTAAAAATACCCCGATACAAGTCGAAAATCATGCAGCACACGTGCAGCTCATGTTACTGCATTGAATAGTGGAATGCACAAGCTGCTGACGCACATACCTCATGAAGATTTTTATTATTTTGCTTTCATTCACTTACCTAACAAGTTTCTATTTTTTACATTTTAGTTACTTTTATAATAATAAATAGTGAAAAAAAAAATGAAAAATAAAAAACCCTCGTAATTAAATATCAAACATTTTTATTTTCAGTAAAGCTTTATATTTTATCTGGTATTTTCTTTATTGTAACATTATACTTGATTCTCCAGGTTGTAGGTATAATGAAAATAAAGGTTGCAAATGCAAAATATAATGTATAGTATTGTTCGTACTGATCACAAAATTTCAAAGTACTTATGGTTAGAGTTTACACTTCTCACCCTTTCACACTTATTTCTATAGTTATTTTATTGCTAGCAGTTAGATTAGAAACTAGAAGAAACAAAATGAATAGTACTGTCTGTTCCTTTCAGTATAGACAACAAATTTCCAAAGTAAATCTTCTGAGAGTTTCTTCTAATCTTTTTACACCTATTTCCTATGTTTATTCCATTGTTAGTGACTGAAGTAGAAACCTGACAAATATAAAGCAATGAATCATCATTCTTGTTTAGGTGTTACCATACTCTGACACTGTCAATATTAAATAAGCTTTGCAGCAAAATTACCAGAACTTTTCTTGCTTTGAAAACAGTGGGGAAGGATTTATCAACTTGTTGACAGAATAATGGTTACAATGAGAATTGTCTAAAGTATTATAAAATGCTTATGCTATGGCTTTGCAGAAAGTCTGGGCCGATCAAATAAACTTGATAGGTATTTGAATGTTGGTTGATAAGCGGATGTTTCCTACAGAGTCTATTTTACTCATGGCTCTGAAAACACAGTGGGGTAGGATTTATCAGCTTGTTTGCACAGTACAGCAGTTGCAACAGGAATTGGCTAAAGTATTATATAAAAGTGAGAGAAAATATTTATGATATGGCTCTGTACAAAGTTGTATCCTTTCCAATAAACTTGGGTGGTCGGAATTTAGTGGTGATATAGGTGTGAAAGTGCTTATGAACATCCTGTTTCCTATTTTATCATGCTTACACAGTAACCAATAAAAACGTGGTTTCCAATATTTTGGAAGGTACAGTGAGGTTTCAGTTATGATACATTATCCTACCAAAAGTCATGGGACACACCTCTGATTGCAGGAAAATGGGCGTGACAATGAAATATGCAAATATTTTGGTCTATAAAGATGATCAGCAGTTTGCTCGGAAGTCATTTCAAACTTGTACGCCAAACGATGAGTACACAAAAATTGTTAACAGAGTTTCATAGGGGAAGGATAGTTGGATGTCATTTGGAGATGCTGTATATGCTATTGTGCAACAATTAAACATTCCCAGCTGGACAACTGGCAACGTGCTGAAGAAATGAAAGTCCACAGGTGACAACGAGCCAAGACACGATCAGGTATGTGTAAAATACTGACTGACAGGAGCCGACTTGCCTTGACAAGACTGGTTATTTCATCTCACCATCAGACCCTAGAGAATCTGTGTTTGGAGATGCAAGAAGCCACAAGCAATCCTACAAGTGTTTCCACGACATGTCGAGAACTGCATGCCATGAAGTTTCACAGAAGAGCTGCAGTCCACTAGCCATTGATAAAAACAAATGCACACCATTGACAGGCATGGGGCAAGGCACACAGGGGATCTGAGCCGTGGATCAATGGAAATCAGTCCTGTGGAGTGCAGAGTCATACTACATGCTCTTCCAGTCTGAAGGATATGTTTGGGTATGGAGGATGCCTGAAGAATGCTTATTACCTGGGTGTGTTCTCCCAACAGTGAAGTTTGGAGGTAATGGTATCATGATCTGGGGGTGCTTCTCATGTTATGGTTGCAGTACATGGATCCAGGAATGCTGAGTCATACATTGATGTTCTGAATAATTCTGTGTGGCTTACATTGTGGCAATTTTATGGTACCAGCCCTTACACCTTCCAACATGATAACGCTCCATGTCACAAAGCAAGGATTGTGAATGCATGGTTTGAAGAGAATAACATCGGAATATTGCAGTGGCTAGCACAGAGCCCTGACCTCAATCTGATAGAACATCTTTGGGATGAACTTGAACACAGAATTAGAGCAAGGCCAAAATGGCTCTCTTCAGTAGTGGAGCTTACTAATGCTTTAAAGGAGGAGTGGAGCACAATACCACCAGATTTCTACCAAAAATTAGTAGACAGTCTTCTATGACAAATTGAAGCAGTCATTAAGGCCAAAGGCGAGGCAACATGCTATTAATTTCTTGGAATAAAGACATGTTTTATTCATAACTACCAGTGTCCCATGACTTTTGGTAGAATAATGTATATATATA